AGCCACCTGCCAACTAAGCCTAACCCTACCTCTAAGCCAGAGTCCAATGCAAAGGTAGGCTAATGGCAGAATCTCCTCTATACAGAGTGGATTGCCAAAATCGTCACCTGTCAAAACATAATCTAACTCCTGTAATTCAAGGAAATTTCGGCAGCGCTTCCCATAGGAAAAGTGTCTTCCCAGAATTTATACAAGCTCAAATATGAAAGCAGAAATAATTTATAACTTAAGAAAGTGAAATTTTGTCTAACTCCCTGAATTAGTAAAAATTTTGGCAGCATTCCCTTTAGAAAGGGGGACTTCCCGGATTTATGCTAAGTCAGATATAAACTCAAAAGACAACTTAGTTTTAACTAACTCCTTAGTTTTGCAAAAATTTCGGCAGCACTCCCTTTAGAATAGTTCTATTCCAAAATTTATACAAGGCTAAATTCAAAAATCGAAAGTAGTTTTGACTTCTCAAAGTCCAATTTTCGTCCAACTCCCTGAATTAGCAAAAATTTGGGCAACACTCCCTTTAAAAAAGAAGACTTTCCAAATTTTTACTAGGTCAGATATAAAGAATAGATAAGTTGAACTTTTACAAGTCAAAAGTTGACTAACTCCTTGGATTTGTAGAAACTTCGGCAACGCTTCCCGTAGAGAAAGTAGCTTGCCAAGATTTATACAAAGCCAAGAATAACAAAAGATCCCAAAAAATGCGAGAATTGATCTAAGTAAAAAAAACTTAGTTCAGAAAATGCAGGAATTGACACTAACTCCTACTGCTCTAGCACGTGGCGAGCGACTAAAGCAACTACCTATCCAACTGAAACTCAAGCCAAGTAGTAGCCTCACTCAATCGCATGCAGGCCAAGCCACAAAGGTAAGTACTCTCACCATCCCCAAGTCAGCCTGAACAAACAATAGTTCATGATCTCTCAATGATTTAACCCTTTATACCCAGCTTACATAAGGCATAGGTCAGGCCACCTGAACTTACAGAGCGCGCCCAACTTAGCCAGGCCTAAAGTCAGAATACCTAAAATTATAGAGCGTTCTGACTTTAGCCAAGTATACACCAACAAAGGGCACAACTATTTTTCTCTTCTTTGGGCATGTGACTAGACCACTCTAGTCGCCCTGAACTGTTTACATAGCCAAGTTATGTATACCTCTCTGCACTTAGTCTTCCAAATGGACATAGGGATGAGCCGCTCATCTTATAACGTTGCTCAACCTGCCCAAGTTTACCTTCAGTTATATCTCTTGATTATACTCTCTTCGAATTACGATAAGCTATAGTCAGGCTGTCCAATCTTATGGAACCCGCGCCTGACTAGCCTGTTCTTAAATAAAATACTAATAGAGTATAGCCAAATTATAACCATTGAGTTCCAACATGTGTTAGGCATTGGGTCAGACCACCTAAACTTATAGAGCGGTCTGGTCCTCCGCCAGGTTCGTTTCTCTCTGATCCAGTCTGTGCGAGGCAGTGGGTCAGGCCACCTAAACTTATAGAGCGGCCTGTCCCCTGCCAGCATTATTCCCTCGGAACAAAACAGGAGAAGGGCCGAACCACCTAAACTTATAGAGCGGTTCAGACCTCCTCGTTCAGAAACAACGAAACAGAAAGAACTCCCACATAAACAAGGCGACCTAGAGTGCCTAAACTTATAGAGCGCCCTGAGCCCCTGAAAGCCAAGCACAACCAACCCTCGCAAGTCAGAGCAGTCAGGTCACCTAAACTTATAGAGCGTCTTGACCCTCCATGCACTTCACAGCACCAGGTCTCCCCAAACTTATGGGGACATCCCAGCCTCCAGAGCTTCAGGCCACCTAAACTTATAGAGCGACCTGAGGCTCCATGCAAATCAGGACTAAACAAAGCGCTGGGCTTCCCCAAACTTAAGGGGACCTCCCAGCCTTGACGACCCAATCAGTCTGCACACAATACTGCCTTCCTCTCAACCTTCCCCCAAATGCAATCCCTTTTGTGCACAATCTGCTTTCCGGCAGTCAACAAAGTCTGAAGCTGAAATTGGATACGCATTCCTTTACTTAGTCTGAGTTCAAATCCTGAAAGTCAAAACAAAGTCAAAGTACAGGATTCACGCCATACACTCAGCCAAACATAGAAAGGTATACAGATAGGGGTTATAACCTGGTTTATAGAGGGAGTCAGGGAATTACGACTCAGTTCCCTGCCTCCAAGACTCCTCCCGAGTCCCGACAGAGCTCCCGCAATCGGTGGGGCGAACCTCCCACAGAGGCCTTGGCGCGGATTACGGGTTGCAACCCCGCCTGCCGCCTTCCTCTCAGAACCAGGGGACTAGACTTAGAGGAAGAAGAAAGAAAGGGTAAATTCAGTCTCTCAAGATATCAGAGAGGTGCTCTCAGACTCGCGTGAGAGGGCCTTGATTCCTTGGTTCACCTGAGGGCCCCGCAATGGCGGCCAAAGTGCCCAGTGGCTTGGCCACCCCGGAGTAGAACATCGACTGTAGACCCCCCTGGCAACTCCCCCTATCGCAGCCAAGCCCTCCTTTCAACAGCTCAGTCCCAAGTTTGTTTGCTATGTAAAACCTTCACGGCTCGTCTGCTGTTACACAAGCCGATATAATCAAGAGGCGCGCCGGCCAGTTGACAGCCTTGCAGTCCCTGCAGCCGTCTTCAGACCCGCAGCGCGTCTTCCACTTCCCCGTTCAATAAGGCGAGCAACACATCACCACTCTTTCGAACTGCCATGCCTCTCCATTAGATCAAACTATCGCTACGTAACCTTAGAACGGCGGCGTTTGAATAGTGGACATCCCCATAGCGTGCAGCAGCAGGGTGCAGCAAGGCATAGCAATACTCAGCAATGCACAGTGCAAACCTAGCTATACGCGCAGCCAGGATCTCACCCGAGCGCTATACTGCACAGCTACAGGCTCAAAATGTCAAGTATATAGCAGCCGCAACAGCGCCCCCGTGCTCAGCCAAAACATACCAGAAGCGCAACAAGATCAGCCCCTCGATTCAGCAAGGACACAGTAGATGTCGCCCTCAGCTTGCCATTTTTCCTGTAGCTCCCCCTTTCAGCGGGTTGGGCAACACCCCCGCCAACAGGCACATCCACTAGCCCCGCTGCTCGCTCCCTGCCATGCTCCGGCGCAGCCCGTTTCTTACTAACCTCTCTTCCTACTAACCAACAGCTAAAACTAACCTTAGATTCGAACTCGCCCGTCATCTAAACCCCGACTTCAAACTTTCTCCGGCCCGATTTCGTCAAGAGTCGGCAGACTAGTCATCTTTTCCTCCCGCCATCTTCCTTCTCCGCCATAGCCTCCACGCAACTCATTCCCCTACTAACTCTAAATCTACTAACTTTCTACCTCAACTAACGCAAGATTCGGGGTCGCCCACCCCGAAAACCCCTTCCAACTATCTTCCGCCGCCTATATCCGACAAGAAACGGGTGAGCTACGAGCTCACCCCGCTATACTGCCATCACTGCCTTTTCTCGAACGTATCCGGTGCAATTTTGCGCCCACATTCATTCCTCCCATCCTCTTATCCTCGTCGCTACGTTTGCCTCTGCACCCGCTGCCTCTCGTTCCCAGTCGCATTTCGCACAGGCGGCGCCCAAACCCACTTTACTCAGGCTGAACCCGCCATAGCCACTCCTCCCTTTTCTACCTGTATGCACCGGGCGCGTTTTAACGCTCGGGCTCGATGTCCCGACAGTCGCTCGCACCACCGCCGCCTGCCTTCATGCCCGTCACTCCCTCTCTGCAGCGCCCCACCTAACTTCCTACCTCCCCCAATGGCGCATGTACCTAGCCCCTTTCCTGCTCGGGTTCGTCTTTCTAGCTCCACCACCCCGTCGGCCTACTGACGTCAACCGGGATCAACACCCCGGGCTCGGAGATAGCGGGGCACCGAGAATTCAGAATCGGCTCGGGGCGGACGATCAGACAATAAACAACAAAAAAAGAGAGAGGCGTTGCTCCTACTTTATATGCGTTCGCCCTCCCACTAGGGCCAAGCCGACCTCCTTCCCGCCGCCCGAGCTTTAGCAGACTTCCCGACAGACTCAGACGGGGCGATACTCCCTTGACTCGTAGGGACCAATACGGCCACAGTTGCCGCTTGCCTCAACGCCCGAACTTGGCCCGCTTCTCAGAAGTTATGCGTGCCAGCCTTGCACACGGGCCATGCGAATCTTTTCTGTATCGTTCCGACTTTAACGGATGTCCTGAAGGACACAGCCTGGGCAATGCCCCATGGCGTTACCAAAGGCCACCCGACTTTTTCCTTTACTTCCCCCACACGCGCCTACCCCGGTTCCCATCCGGATTTAGTCTCGGATTTCCTTACTGCATGCGCCACTCCTCCATGGCTGATCACGTGGACCTTCCTAGTGACGTCCTATTCGGGGCAATACCCCACGATAGTCCCCAAGGCCACCCGGCCTTTTCCTCGTCCCCTTTTGCACGCGCCCGCCCTGCATCACGTCCGGGTTCATCCCCGGATTCACACACACCATCCTTACGCAGTGGCCTAGCAGATCTCTCCCGTATCAATCCGATTCTCGCGTATGTCCCGAAGGACTCATTTACAATGGCGCCCCATGGCCCTTTACGGCCTGGGCAGCCCCCCGCACCACCACATGTTCGGTCCTACTCCTCAAAGGCCATCCTCTGGGCCCGAGCATGGGTCTGTATTTCAGCAGCGCATGGGTGCACCCACTATAACGGCCAACGACCCAGACAATTCATCCTCAAGTAAGCCAGTGTCGAACCCCGGCGCTTAGGGGACGCAAAAAGGGGAAACAACCAATAAGCTGACGCAGGGCCCAAACAGGAACTGGGAGGCTAACAGAACAGGGCGCGGGACCTACCTGCCCTCCCGAGGTCCTGCAGGACGGGCCAGCGATCAAATTCCCCTACAAAAGCTAAGGGGGATAGTCCTGCAGGACCCTCAACCCCTCAGCTTTTCACCGTTCCTGCGCCATCGCCGGCCGGCCTCGAACCCCGTACCCTTGCGTCATAAGACCAACATCGTAACCTATAGGGCCGAGCCCAAGCCTGAGACCAGCGCCCGCAGAGTACCATACAAGGCAGTGCGACGCGGCGCTTTTGGGCCAACAAGTCGGCTGCGCGGCTCCCAGTGCCCGCGCCGGCTTGCTCATACCGTGCCATAATTGCCCCGAACGCCATCCTATGACACCCCGCTCACCGTACGAAGTCGCGCCGTCGCTGTCGATGTCGTTGTCGGGGTCGTTCTCCGCACGCGCGCTCGACTCGGTCAAACGTAGCCACCAAGAGGAAATATCCCCTAGATCCTAGTCTAATCAAGAGTAATCAAAAATAAGAAAATAAAAATAAAACAAACAGACCGACAACCGTGCCGGTTTCATAATCAACATCCGGGGATAAATCACGCGCACCTTAAACCTGCGCGCCCACGCACTCTTTACTCTAGTCAACCGCCCAGTCAACGTAACTCACAGGCGCAGCCGCGCCTAGCGCGGTATCCTTAGACTTCTAAGCCATGACTATTTTCTATCACTTGCAAAAACCAGGGCGGATACCCTTGTAAGGGTATTCGCGCCGACAGCGCGCACACAAACACACACACACACACACACATTAAAAAAAAAAAAAAAAGACAACAAAAAGTGCCAGTGTATATTTCGATGTTTTAGCGGAAGATTGATTCCGATTTTGCTCATCCTATCAATGGAAGCAGCACGGCCGAGAAGCAGTGCGTATTCGAAGTAGCCTCTCTCCATCTCTCTGCGTGCATGGCTGGCCAGTCCCACTCCCCTCCCAACCAATCTTGAGTATTTCCTTCCCCCCTCCTAACCAATCCCGACTCCCATTTCCTCCCTCACCCGTGCGCGATCCCGATTTCCTCTCCCCTCCCAACCAATCTTGACTCCTATTTCCTTCCCCACCCGTGCGCCCGGATCCCATTTCCCGATCCGCCATCCTTCCCCTCCCTCCAATCTCGATCCCCCCCGTTAGTCCCATCCCCCTCCATGTGGGCGATCCCGATTTCGTCCCGCCTCCCAACCAAYCCCGACTCCCTCTCCCCTCCTCCGCCATGCGTGCGCGATCCCGATCTCCTCCCCCTCCTAACCAATCCGGACTCCCATTTCCTCCCCCGCCCCTGCGTCCCGATTCCATTTCCCGATCCCATATCCGCGAGACCCGCTACACGCTTATCCCTCCTTTCCGTCCAACGACTCCTTTCGTTAGTCCCGATGCCGAGTCCCGCTCCCTTCCTCCCCCACCCGTGCACGATCCCGATTTCCTCCCTCTCCCAACCAACCCGGACTTCTATTTCCTTCCCCGCCCGTGCGCCCCAATCCCATTTCCCGATCCGCTATCCCTCCCCTCCCCTCCCTCCAATCCCGACCACCCCCGTTGGTCCCATCCCCCTCCATGCGTGATCCCGATTGCGCCCTGATACCGTATCTCTCCCCCTCCTCCAATGCCCGCTCCTCTCCTTAGTCCCAATCCCGAGTCCCACGTGCACCCCGATGCCGCATCCCTCCCCTTCCTCCAATCCCCACTTCGATCGACAGAAGCACCCTCGCCGAGGTTGGAGACTTATCGTCTCTCTCTCTCTCTCTCTCTCTCTCTCTCTCTCTCTCTCTCTCTCTCTCT